TATTTTACAACAATTGTCACTCCATTTACACTTATAGTCTGTCTATTTACACTTATAGTCTGTCTATTTACACTTATAGTCTGTCCATTTACACTTATAGTCTGTCTATTTACACTTACAATCTGTCTATTTACACTTACAGTCTGTCAATTACACTTACAGTCTGTCCATTTACACTTACAGTCTGTCTATTTACACTTACAGTCTGTCCATTTACACTTATAGTCTGTCCATTTACACTTACAGTCTGTCTATTTACACTTATAGTCTGTCCATTTACACTTACAGTCGGTCCATTTACACTTACAGTCGGTCCATTTACACTTATAGTCTGCCTATTTACACTTACAGTCTGTCTATTTACACTGACAGTCTGTCTATTTACACCTACAGTCTGTCCATTTACACTTACAGTCTGTCCATTTACACTTACAGTCTGTCCATTTACACTTACAGTCTGTCAATTTACACTTACAGTCTGTCCATTTACACTTATAGTCTGTCTATTTACACATTATATAACATTATATTAGTGTCAAATTTTGATTCAAAGTAGAATTGAAAACTTGTTAAATATGATAAAATAACACACAGGAAATGTTTAGGTATTTAATTTTTTTTCTGAACATGGTGAAAATAACCATCAAAAACAGCTCAATCTACTGTAGAGAGAGTCTTGAAGACAAAAAGTAGGACATTTTAGCTCGTAAATTAAGATTTTAAAATTGACTGGTTTTGCCTCACATAAATGCGAAAACATTAAATATGGCGCTAGACAATTTGGATATAGAGTCAGATATGATTGGCAAATACAGACAAATAATAGTCTAGAGCTCTAGTCAGATATAACTGGTAAATACAGTCAAACAAACAGTCTAGAACTCTTGTCAGACATGACTGGTAAATACAAACTAAACAACATCCCTGTAGAGCTATATTATTACCGAGGTATAACAAGTCTATAAACAATTAAGTAATTAGTATGCCATTTCAAGTTTTAATATAATATTAACTCTAGTATGAACTTTCAGTAGAATATTTTAATAATTGTAAAAGTTGATCCTGGTTTAAAGAAAGTTTAATTAGTAAATATTTTAATATGGGATATTTAATAACCAGTTTTAAAACAGTGAAAGTTCACATCATTAGTGTACTTTATGTAAATTTTCTCACATGAACATGAAAGGATTTGAAAAAGTAACACTATTAGCCATTTTTCATTATTAAATGAATAATTGACAGCTTATCAACTTACTGTGAATTCAATATAAAATTAAAGTAAATTTTCTCACATGAACATGAAAGAATTTGCTATGCCACTTTCCATTTTTAAAGGGAATGGTTGACAGCTAACTTTAGAATGTCCTGGCTGTGGATTCACAATCTTACCTTAAAGGGAATCAAATTTACAAATGGAATCACCTAGCAGACAAGCTAACAATGTACAGAGCTACCCCACTGTCCTAGCAGATGGCAATCCAACTCACAACTAACAGAGTTACCCCACTGTCCTAGCAGACGGCAATCCAACTCACAACTAACAGAGTTACCCCACTGTCCTAGCAGACAACAATCCAACTCAATACTAACAGAGTTACCCCACTGTCCTAGCAGACGGCAATCCAACTCACTACTAACAGAGTTACCCCACTGTCCTAGCAGACGGCAATCAAACTTACTACTAACAGAGTTACCCCACTGTCCTAGCAGACGGCAATCCAACTAACTACTCACTACTAACAGAGTTACCCAACTGTCCTAGCAGACAACAATCCCACTCACTACTAACAGAGTTACCCCACTGTCCTAGCAGACGGCAATCCAACTAACTACTCACTACTAACAGAGTTACCCCACTGTCCTAGCAGACGGCAATCCAACTCAATACTAACAGAGTTACCCCACTGTCCTAGCAGACGGCAATCAAACTTACTACTAACAGAGTTACCCCACTGTCCTAGCAGACAACAATCCCACTCACTAACAGAGTTACCCCACTGTCCTAGCAGACAACAATCCCACTCACTACTAACAGAGTTACCCCACTGTCCTGGCAGACGACAATCCAACTCTCTACTGACTGAGCTATTCCACTGTCCTGGCAGACAACAATCCCACTCACTACTAACAGAGTTACCCCACTGTCCTAGCAGACAACAATCCCACTCACTACTAACAGAGTTACCCCACTGTCCTGGCAGACGACAATCCAACTCTCTACTGACTGAGCTATTCCACTGTCCTGGCAGACAACAATCCAACTCAATACTAACAGAGTTACCCCACTGTCCTAGCAGACGGCAATCCAACTCACTACTATCAGAGTTACCCCACTTTCCTAGCAGACGGCAATCCAACTCACAACTAACAGAGTTACCCCACTGTCCTAGCAGACCACAATCCAACTCTCTACTGACTGAGCTATTCCACTGTCCTGGCAGACAACAATCCAACTCAATACTAACAGAGTTACCCCACTGTCCTGGCAGACCACAATCCAACTCTCTACTGACTGAGCTATTCCACTGTCCTAGCAGACAACAATCCCACTCACTACTAACAGAGTTACCCCACTGTCCTGGCAGACCACAATCCAACTCTCTACTGACTGAGCTATTCCACTGTCCTGGCAGACAACAATCCAACTCACTACTAACAGAGTTACCCCACAGTCCTGGAAGACGACAATCCAACTCACTAGACATTGATAAAAAAAATTAGGCAGACCCAGACCCATGTTAGTGAGTTTTATCCAATTCTTGTCATGAAAGACAAAACACAAATGAAGATAAGTACACATACTGACTGAGTTATAAAACACCTCCACAATAAACAACACTGACTGGTCATATATCAAAATCACAAATAATATTCTTCTCTTGTTCACACATTAATCTAACTATAATACTAGCTTTCCTTAATCCCACTCTCTCACAATCAACATGTTTCTGATATGATATACATCATCAGGATAGCTTGTTTTTTTGAGGACAAAAGTGTTTTGTTTGAAAAACCTGTTTGATTTGGAAATTAAAGTGTAATTCTTATGTATTATCTGAAACATCAGGGCTGAAAATGGAGGTTAAATAACAAAGCTCACTGAATGAGATGATCCAAGCAAGGGTATGCTTCATCTTCATAAATTCAAGATTTGTTAAAAAATGTTTCTCCCTGTGGTTTATTGATTTATCAGTTTCTGTTTACATTATGAAATCATTGTTTACCTATAATGTGGTTAAAAATAATCCAATTATTATATATTATTCCACCTTAACATTCAGTTTTAACTCTCTGCTATCAGACTATTATAAAGATTCTAACTACAAATTAAATTATACCAAATTAATCACTTTAAATCACTCACCAATCAGAAAATATGACCATGAATAGTAATATCCTAATATCAATGTTTTGAATATAAAATCCATCATCAGGACAAATGATTTGTAAAATGAAGGTTGAATTCCACTAGTGTAGCTCGCTAATACTCCAAACCTCGGATATACAGAGAGAAATGGTGAATAATCTGAACAATGACAGCCTAATCTATTTAAGACTAATCCAGTCTAATCCTAATCTACTAACTGTATATACCTGCTAGTTATTAGAATTATTAAAGACATGGACCCAGCTCATAATGTTTCCTTCAAAATAAATAAATATATATCAGCTAGTTATTAGAATTATAGTAGAGTTGAACATAATTCAATTACTGTAATTATTTTATATGAAGTTTAGATAATATTTTATTTCTCCTTCTTAAGTCTCAACAAAATATCAAATCAGGTGAAAACACAACAGATATCTACATATAACTTATATAGAAATACCAAACTATTTTTTACAGTTTCTCAGCTTGTTTGATATCCATATACATGTTTCAGGTTCTGTATTAATGTTTCTATGTTTCACTTTACATTAATAATTGTAACAGGTTGTTCTTGGTAACTATCTCCCAGCCAACTGGTGGAAATCGAAGTTTGTTTCAGTAAAATTATTTTATTTTGCACATTGCATTTTTTCACACCTGTGACACCTCAAAAGCCCAAATGTTTCGAAAAAAAGAAGTAAAACTACTGACCACTATAGAAGATTAGTCCAATAAGGTCCAGAATAAAGGTCCAAGTATAAAATCACCCTGTTTAATCCAGACTAAAAGAATGTAAAACTCCAAGTTTAGTGAACCTCTCAATTTTGTTCTAACATTCAACAAGTATATAATCACCCTGTTTAATCAGACCCACAAGATTGAATGATAATTTGTTGATTAAGAGAGTCTACAGGGTTAATTAAAGGTATGAGGTAATATAATGATGAGATAAGTTTATATTATAACATAATTATCATTATTATTACTTTATTTAACATAATATCTCAATCAAAATATCAAGGTATATCTTCCCTTTTTATTTCCTCTGATATATATATATATATATAATATAATTACCTCTCATATAATTTCTAGATCTAAATGTATTCTCTATGTCAATCTCATATATTAAAGGGATTTGTCCTCATGAAAATTTACTGTCAATTATTATTTAATATATTTAAAGGGATTAAGGCATTGATTTATGAGCTAAAAATCTGCTTCTGTCATTTTGATTTCAATCCCTTTTATATTGATATATTTACAAGTTTTAAAGTTATTGGAAGATATAACTTGATATTGAAAATATTTTATAATGGTAGGCCTATTTTAATATAAACAAATAACAACATTAATTCCAACTGCAAGTTTAATTGTTTGAATGTCAACAAGGTTTTATTTTTATTTTTTAATAACTTCTCACCATTTAAGATGTTGATAATTTGAGTAATTTTTATGGGGAATATCAATTTTTAGACGACAATATCACTTAATATAAGATATAATGAAACTAGATTTCAATCATTTTAACTCTCAGATTAACAATGTCTACTTCAAAATAGATCAAATCTTAAAGTTTGAATTGGTCATTTGTAAAGATTTCAATGTCTAATTGTCTTGGTGAAGATCAGCTAGAGGCTTGAGAATATAAAATATAATAGATATAATCAAGTTGAAATTGTTGATTTAAAGAGATTAAGATTTTATATAATTAACGACAAGATGTCAATTTCTCTGTTTAAATTGTTTATTGGTGAGAAGAAGAGGTTTACTATAAAATACAGATTATTTCATTAGCATTAATAGTTCAAGATTCCTCGACAGTTGAAAATTGAAAATATACCAATATATCTATTGTCTCTCTTAATCTCTATATTGTTTCTTGTTGGTATATTTTTTATGTTTTATTCTCTTGCCATTACATCTAATGATGACACGTGTATATTGTGTTGAAACGTTATGTGCCCAACCTTATTAAAGGAGTGTGTTATATTCCAATATATTGTGTTTTGTTATATAAGGGAAATTTTGCCAGGACAGCGTTCTGGCTAGATGAAATCTAGAAATAAATATAGTTTTATATCCTACTATTTTACATCTGTATGAAGAGAGATAACACCTCGACAGTCTCATTAGTTACATGATATCTGAAGAAGAAATCAGCATATAGTGTGACAACCAGTCAACAAATCTTCAGTGAATTTTCATTCTATCACCAAGAACAGTTAAATATATTTCAAATTATTATTCATTAATACAGTATAATTTAAATCATGCACTAAAACAATTAGAATGCTGGTGAAAAATTAATTTTGACATTCATTGCTACAAACATGATTCATCTAATTGAGAATGAAATAAAATTGATGAACAGAGAGAGCCTGTATAATTATATATACCCATAACTGGACACAATTATATAGATAACAATTACTTTAATAAATAACTTGTGATGTTTCCACGATGATGCTTCCGTCTTTATCAATGATCATTGTCCAGTTATATATACCACAGTTACTAAATGCCACTCTAGGAAGTTATATATACCACAATTATTAAATGCCACTCTAGGAAGTTATTTATACCACAGTTACTAAATGCCACTCAAGGAAGTTATATTTACCACAGTTACTTAATGCCACTCTAGGAAGTTATATATACCACAATTATTAAATGCCACTCTAGGAAGTTATTTATACCACAGTTACTAAATGCCACTCAAGGAAGTTATATTTACCACAGTTACTTAATGCCACTCTAGGAAGTTATATATACCACAATTATTAAATGCCACTCTAGGAAGTTATTTATACCACAGTTACTAAATGCCACTCACGGAAGTTATATTTACCACAGTTACTTAATGCCACTCTAAGAAGTTATATATACCACAATTATTAAATGCCACTCTAGGAAGTTATTTATACCACAGTTACTAAATGCCACTCAAGGAAGTTATATTTACCACAGTTACTTAATGCCACTCTAGGAAGTTATATATACCACAATTATTAAATGCCACTCTAGGAAGTTATTTATACCACAGTTACTAAATGCCACTCAAGGAAGTTATATTTACCACAGTTACTTAATGCCACTCTAGGAAGTTATTTATACCACAGTTACTAAATGCCACTCAAGGAAGTTATATTTACCACAGTTACTTAATGCCACTCAAGGAAGTTATATATACCAGTTACTAAATGCCACTCAAGGAAGTTATATTTACCACAGTTACTTAATGCCACTCAAGGAAGTTATATTTACCACAGTTACTTAATGCCACTCAAGGAAGTTATATTTACCACAGTTACTTAATGCCACTCAAGGAAGTTATATATACCTAGTAGCTTATTTAGGCAATAATATTTGGGCCTTGACCTTCTTCTGAGCCCTGTGAAAAGTTTTTTTTAGAAATGCAAATTAAACCCTCTAATTCATCTCTGGCCATCAGATCTGTTGACTTTTGGGGGCCCCAACGGTAGCGCCCAGACCCTCAGGTCCTCAGCCTCAAGATTCTTCAGTCTCCCAGGCCTTGCCTCAGAGAGATACCTCCAATTTTTGGCCTCCTCGTCAGGCAATTTCAAGATACACCCCTGATAAAATACCGCTACAATACACTCTAGTTGTTTTTATACTCTTATTACAATGATGTGAAATTTATTAACTTGGTAAGAAATGGTTGAATTAAAACTATTTAACATTTTAACATCATTTTATCAACATGTCAACTACAGTGTCAACCTTAATTCTTTCAGACTCCTTGTCCCCCTGTCAGTGATATAAGAGTTTTAGGGCCTACTGATCTACTTGTTATACATTTTTAAACATTTTTCTCATTCCCCCACCTCAGCATTGTTTATCTTCATCAGCAATAGACTCCAGAAAGGAAGAAGTAAAAATTGTTCTATTGATTAAATGGAGCCCAACACTTGTTGATGTCACATGTTTCAGACACACAATCCTCATCAGGACTGCTAGTAGGTAATTTTCCAATATAGGACTTTATTTATTGTCTAGAGCTCATACTGTTGACACATGTTTCAGATAAACAATCCTCATCAGGACAGCTAGTTTTAGAAATGGAGGTTAACTTTCCAATTATAGGACGTGAAAGTAGTAAAGTAAGGGAACTCACTGATCAGGAGTAGGAATCACCACAGTCCCTGTTACAATGATCTGTTTTAATAAGAGTGGTGTGTTAGGCTGACAGAATATGATAAAAATGTTACCAAATAAAAATCCATACAAGCAAAACATTCTGTTAATCAAAATCTCGTTTAAAGTATAGTAAAATGGAGTGTAAAAGTTGTATAGTAGTGGACTCCTGCAAAGAGAAATAACATCAGGT